CCCGCCCCCCAGGACCTGCTGCAGGGCACGCAGTGCTGGGTGTCCGGCTGGGGCTACACCAGCCCTGACCAAGGTGAGCCCCCGGCCCGTTCCTGTCCCTCCCCTGCCCCGTTCACCCCTTCCTGGGGTGATCTGAGTGCCCCCTGCCTTCACCCCAGCCCTGCTCCTGCTGGCCTGGCCACACTCAGCCCCAGCCCTGCCCCGCTCTCCCCTCCTGCTCCCCGGGTCTCCCTCCTGTCTCCCCCGTGTCCCTGTCCCCAGCACAGGTGGCCGGGACGCTGAAGGAGGCCCTGGTGCCCCTGATTGGCACCAGGAGGTGCAACAGCTCCTGCGTGTACCAGGGTGAGCTGACAGCCAGGATGCTGTGTGCAGGACACCTGAGGGGACACGTGGACGCCTGCCAGGTGGGGCTGGGAGCAGGGACAGGGCTGGGGTGGCCCTGGGTGAGGCACAGCGTGCCAGGTGGGGCTGGGGACAGGGACAGGGCTGGCACTGGGGTACCCTGGGTGAGGCACAGCGTGCCAGGTGGGGCTGGGGACAGGGACAGGGCTGGGGTGCCCTGGGTGATTGTGACACAGCGTGCCAGGTGGGGCTGGGGACAGGGACAGGGCTGGGGTGGCCCTGGGTGAGGCACAGTGTGCCAGGTGGGGCTGGGGACAGGGACAGGGCTGGCACTGGGATGCCCTGGGTGATTGTGGCACAGTGTGCCAGGTGGAGCTGGGGACAGGGACAGGGCTCGGGTGGCCCTGGGTGATTGTGGCACAGCGTCCCCTGAGCTCTGGATGCTCCCTGGAGGTGCCCAAGGCCGGGTTGGACAAAGCTTGGAGCAGTCTGGGGTGGTGGCACATGGCAGGGGATGGCACTGGATGAGTTTAAGGACCAGAAGCAGTTTGGGATTGTGTGATGGCCCCACAGGGGGACAGCGGGGGTCCCCTGGTCTGCTGGGACGGCTCCATGTGGCGCCTGGTGGGAATTGTGAGCTGGGGCCAGGGCTGTGCCGAGCCCAACCACCCCGGCGTCTACACCAACGTGGCTCAGCTGCTGCCCTGGATCCACCAGGTCACCGGGGTAAGCCCAGCTCAGTGCCCAGAGCCTCTGCTCCTTACCCTAATCCCAGCTGAACTCTGTCCTTTGCTGCACAAGCCCCTGTCACGTTACCAATCCCTTTATTTATTTTATCAGACCCACTAGGAATCAGACACGGACTCCAYGGAGCGACACTCTGCCCTTCCCACAAGTGAAGAACAGCCCAGGATGGGCCCAGCCTGTGGCCCTGTAACCCAAACAGATTCCCAAATGTGCTCAGTCGAGTTTATTAAAAATAGCAATTTACAATTCTATGAACAATGTACATTAATCCAAGTGTCAAACGTAGCCTTTTGTGACTGAAAAGACTGCTGTGAGTGCACCTTTCATTCCCTTTTTAAATCGGTTTACATTTCTCTCATTATTCTTGAAGGACAGAAAATACACCACCAAAAAGACACCCAACAAAAACATCAAGGAAGGAGCTGAACTGGCTTCTACAGTCAGGAAAGTGAGATTGAAAAACTCTGTCTCAGTTTCAAGATATCTTSCATGAGAAATAAGAGAATTTCCCTACCTGTGTGAAATTCTGGGACCTAATCAATGCTTCATTCAGCACAGGATCTCCTTTCCCCACATCTCCCCCCTAATTTTGTCCATTGAGATCTGCTGCTCAGAGGAACCTGAGGTGGCAAAGTTTGGCACTTCCTGGGATATCAAAGTCTGTGGGTTCCATGTGTGATTTGCAGGGACAAAGAGGTCACAGAGGGGCTGCAGGTCCCCTGATGTAAAACTGCATAGATGAGTCAGAGCTGAGCACAAAAATGGCCCCTGCAGGGCCCTGAGCCCAGCGTGAGATGAGGTTACACAAACACCACAAAATGCTCCATCCCCRCCCCAGCCAAGCTCCAGGAAGCACTTCCCCAATTCCAAAGCTTTTCAGACCAGTGTAAATAAGAAAGGTGAAATCCAAAAGCTRTTTGAAAGTCTGTTTGGTCTTGCTGTGCCACAAGGTGTAAACATGGAGTCACTTGATCTTGGCCAGTGCTGCCGCTCTCCTCTCTGTGTTCTGGAACAAGGCTCGGATCAGACTCTTCACCTCAGCTGCTGAGAATTCCTCTGCCAGAGTTCCCTTCCCATCTGCCCACCTGGAGAGGAGAGAGGGAGAGCTTTATTTCACCAGCCTGCCCAGAAATTGCACCTCCAAGGAGCCTCCAAGGAGCTGTGCCAGTGCCAGCAAGCCAGGTTTGTCAATTCAGAATTGTGAGGTGATTTTTGCACTCAGTACATTTTCCTTCTCCTAAATAAACCTAAACCCTGCCTGGRAAATTCCCATTTCCCTCCTTCACAACACAAATAAGTGGTTTATGCACTGCTGGAAGTAGAGTTGGGAAGTTTTTGTGATTTGGATGCTTCCCTGCACCTTCCTGGTTTTCCCTGCTGGGGTCAGGGTGTTCTCCTGCCCTTCAGAGCCCTCTGGGAGCAGGGAATGTCTGGAGAACCAGCTAGAAAGGAAAACACTTACTGATCCACGATTTCTTGGAGGTTGGCCTGYAGGATGATCATCAGCTTCTTGAATGTCATCCACTTCCTCACGTAGACTGGAACCTCCTCTTGGTACCTCTTATTTTCAGCTTCTTCAAGCAGRGGGGTGAAAACTCGGGGTGCCTCCTCCAGCACGATCCTGCAGAGYGAGTAGAGCCTCTCTGCATCCTCTGCAGAGATATCCTGGGATGGGGAGAACACGAATAGAGGAGAAGGGTGAGGAATTAGGGTTTTTTATCGTCTGTATTTTCATGTATCTGTATTGTTGTACTTCTCCAGTGCACAGCACTAAAGCTGTTCTCCCATCTTTGGACAAAACAATTCCTCTCCAGGCCTGAAACTCAAGAACACCTCATTGCTCAGAGTCCCAAAATATTGGGGAGAAGTGGGGGGAGCTTTTACCTCYAGGCCAGCAATCCTGGTGACAATCTCAGCCAGGGCTGTGTTCAGTAAGGTCCCCATGGCCTTGCAGTACACGGTGGTGGGGAGCACGTCCTGCCACACCATGCCCAACCTCTTCAGCTGGTGCAACACCTGCCAGGACACAGGAAAGGCATCAGTGGGTACAAACGGGGAGAAACCAGGCTGACAGGAGCAAAAAGCAATGAAATATCTGCTACAGACACAGCCTGGAACAAAAAACCCAAACTACCCTATCAGAAAACAGTTCTTTAGCAGCTGCCCAGCTGTCAGAACTGAGATTACACAGTGCACCCTCCCCAAGGCACCTGCACACTGGGATATTTGGCTTTCTCTGCCCTCCTTACCTGCTTTATGGCTTTATTTGCTGCATGGTAATTCTCCCCATCATCCATATTGGAAAAATTCCTGGCACTCGAGAGCCTCTCCAGGATTTCTCCCTTCTGCACTCGCATCTGGGCCAGAAAACACTCCACCCCTTTAGGAGCAAAAATAAGCAGAGAAGCAATTAAGCAATTAGTAAATTTGCTCTGCCTATTCATGACTGTAAGTGCTGAATAATGAAATTGCTATAATGTTTTATTTTTAATCAAATTTCCAGTCTCCCAGAGCCAGTTTAACCATCTTGTGCAGTTTCCACTGCTATTACAACGCTGGAGAAAAGCAGGGTGGCAGAATTAATTGTGGGTGACTCCTGTTTTATCTCTGAATTTATTTCTATAGAGAAGCTAAAGAAAATATCAAAGACTGAGCAGCAGATTCCAAAACACAGTGCTGCATCTTGCTGGGTACTGAACTGCTCACAGAACTAAATGCTGGACAAGATACAGGTTTCAAAAAGYCACAACTTCCTAATTCAGAGTAAGTTTTTAAAGGCTGTAACTTAAGTTGCAGAATAGATTTATTACTAAAACTAAGGCTAACCTAAAAAATACCAACCCACTGCTCGCACTGAGCGAGCAGCCACACCTCCATTAGATCTGCAGCATCTGAATGAATTCCCACGTGATCCATCAGCACATTCCAAGTGGGAAAGGTGAAGTTACCCAGTTTCCTGAAGCCAGGCACCAGGTCCACGAAGGTGGCTGCCTCGTTGCACAGCACGCTGGGGCTGCGCTCACGGAACTGGTGGCCCAGGGTGAGCAGGTGCTGGGCGATGTACATGCAGTTGTTGTGGTGGATGGCAGCCAGCTGGGGCAGCTTCTGCAGGTTCTCCCTGGCCCAGCACAAAGGGAAAAGGAAGAAATGGGTTTATTTAGAGCTGGTTCTGTTAAAAAAATAGTGGGGTCTATCCTAGAGAAATGCACGGTCTGTCAGCAGATGGTGCAAGCAAGGCCTGACTGACACCAGAGTAATTTAACCTCTCACATCCCCACAGGAACTGAGAAAAAGAGTCTGAACTTTCAGAAAAAAAGAGTCTGAAAGGGCACTGAGACATCTGAACCATGTGTTATCCCACACTGTTTCCAGCCATGGACTTKCAAACAGAAATATATTCTGTTACAGCAAAGTTATGGTGAAGAAAAGGGAGAGAAGTTCTCTGACAGGACTGTGAACTTCCCACCCTCACTGCTGATCTTTTTTCACAGGAAAAACATCATGAAAAATCTGTGCATCAGACCTGGGGTCAAAGTTATGTTGCTGGAAACAAACACAACTGAGGGAGAACTTCACCCATCCCCTTGATGATAAGACTGACAACACAAACTCTCAGGCACCTGCTTTGCACAGGTATGATTTAATAATAGATTAAAGTAGATAATTTTTGCTGTTGGAGCTTCTGGCTGTAGGGGACAAGTGGGACTGTTCCAACAGCATTATTCCCTGTCAGAATAGAAAATATGGACACACTCACTTGTGGTATGTGGGCACCACCTCATAGAAGAGCTGGAAGACGTTCCTGACGCAGTTGAAGAGCTGCACACAGCTACGAGGGAAAGAAGGCTCACGTCAGGCTGTCATTAATGTCTTGTTCACTGCTGACCCCCAGCCTGCYCCAGAACAAGGTTTTATGAGCAGTGAAGCACTGGCACAAAGAGGGGATTGTCAGCATCAATGACAGCACTGTCAACACTCTGGAAAAGTCACAAAGGCYGTGGTGACCTTGAAGTTCAGAGTGGGAGGGAGATCTGTGAAAGGCCMGAACAAAGGGGACAGTGTCCCATCCCTCCAGGTGTGCATCAACACTCAGCCCTCCCTCTGCTCTGCAAGGGCAGCTGGTACCTGGGCAACTCTCCTGCTTCAGGGCTGTAATCCCTGCTTTTTAAAGTTAAGTTTATGTGGATCCTGTTTGTTTTCCCCCAAGAGCCCTGCCAGCTGCAGAGCTGGAGTTCTTTGTTTTCACCAGCACAAAGACAGCAAGAGCAGGGACAGCTCACAGCAGAGGCCAGCATTGGGTTCAGAAAAAGAGATGGGTCTGGTTTTTCTAAACAACTGATTTTTCTGAAAATCTGAACTCCAAGGGCTGCTGAACCTGGAGGAACAGCCTGCAGCAGTGTCAGTCTCCTGCCCAAAGCCAGGGATGAATTCTCCAGCCAAAATGAGGGTAATTCTAATGGCTCCTTCTAATTTTTAGTACATTCTATTCTTTTAAAGTCCTTTAAACCTATTACCATAGGCTTGCAGTGCTAGAACTCCTGACAATACTACAAAGTTCCAATTACTGACACACAATTCCTACCGGAGATCCGAGCTGCTGCTGGCCTCCCGCAGGGTGTGATAKGCCAGCTCCACCAGCTGCTGCACCGAGGAGCTGATCCGGCACGGGGGCAGGCACAGGGTGAACTGGTGCAGCCTCCTCTCACCCCCCAAATTCACTGTCTCACTGGGCACGAGGCTGCAGGGGCYGTGTATTTTTGGGTGGTCTCCAGTGCCAGGATCAGCGAGCTCTGGTGGGGTTATACTGGAATCGGGTGTGATCTAAGGGAAAACAAGAGAGGAGAAACAGAATTCAGAGCTCACAAAGGAGAATCTGCAAGATTTAAAAGCATTGAATGGCAGAGATTTAAGACTCAAGATAAACACRAGACTGCAGCACTATTACAAAATATTTAAAGATTGTTTTGCAGATGTGAGGCATCCCCAATCACCTTCACAGTGTTGTGTATTTCTGAGGTCATCAGTCTCCTGGCTGCCATGATCACATCCCGGCACTTCTTGTTGGCAAAGTGGGAATTGACGTTGCAGGCGTATTTCAACAAGGCAGTGGTGTCTTCTTTCAAAAACTGCATCTTTTTCAGGGCTTTCTCAAATTCTGCTGTGGATTCAATCACCTGAGGAGAGCAGATGTGTTCTATGTTAGGACAGTCTCCTAAAATCACCAAAAAAAGTTCAACTTTGGTAAAAGCTGAAAGGATGAAGGTTTTGGATGGTGTTAAACATTGGAATGACACCACTGGGCTCAAAGCTCGGGGGTTTTGGGGACCCACCTCTTTGTACTGCTCCAGTTTGCTGCTGTCGGTTGGGATGGAGTTCACCAGGCAGTTCTGGATGAGGCAGTCTGAGAGCTCCTCCCACAGGAGCTCCCCCAGCAGCTCTGCCAGAGTCACTGTGCTGTCCTTTCTGCCTTCCCCAGGCTGCTCCACAGGCACATCTGCACCAGACAAACACATTTAGCATTTTTAGCACAGCTGCTTCCTGGGCCAGACCCTTCACCAGSTCATTCTCCTCCTTCATTTTCCTTGCACATAATGCTGATTAACAATCTAAAATACCAGAAAACTGAATGAACAAAATACTGATCATAACTAATTCAAAAAGAGAGGAGCTACCTACTTAGCAGGTGTTTGTGCAGAACTTCAAACACCAGCCTGATCTTGTCAAACACCTCCATAGGAGAGGACTTGTCCAAGGCAAGCTCCTGGAATTTAAACCTGAGAATGAACACATCTGGCTGTTCCTCTGTGACGGGCTCCAGAGATGGGAATGATATCAGTGGCTTCAGGATGTACTGCAGCAACAACTGGCCTGAGGAAAGGAAAAAATAGAGCTGATTGATCCAGTGGGGTCCAGCCCTGGCTATTCTGCATTTAGAGATTCTGTGTGAAGTGGAAGAAACAATCTCTTGATAAAGGAATAGCTAATGAGGTGAAATTTGAAGCACCAGACCATGAAACCACACAGTCACAAATTAAAATTGTATCAGGAAAGGATAAAAAATTCCAGATAGATAACGGGATAAATATTTTTCTATTAATAAGAGCCACAGCATTCACCTCAGTAGGAAACACAAGCCAGGAGAGAGTTTTCCAGTGTCCTGCTGAGGGAACAGGATCTCATGATCCATGCTGGAACAAGTCTGAACTATCCACCCGAGCTAYTGGGGCTGTTTCTGGGGTCTGTCTTACCAAAACCTTTGAGTTTGAAGTGCAGMTCTCCCAGGACAGCCAAGGCCTGCAGCACAGCAGCGATGGATGGGACAGCAGTGTCCTCCTCCTGGGGTGGCACCGTGTGTAAGTGCAGCTCTGAGAGCAGCACGGCCTCCAGGCTGCTGCTTTCTGCAAAAAAAGAGAGTCAGAGCTGTCACAGGGGACCAGCAGAACCCACTGCAGCCAGATTAGCAAAGATATGCCCTTCCCCAGAGCATGAGCTCGTTCAAACCCCTCAGCCCAACAGTTTTACCATTTCACAGGTGAAAAAAGGGACCTCAGTGGGACAGAAAGAGGGAAACAAAACCCATGAGCACCTTTGGAAGGGGGAAGCTTCCACACAATGAGCTTCTGCCACTCCTGCCCGAGGTGGTAGATGACATTCTGTGTCTGCACCATCAGCTCCCTGCCCAGGGCCTTCAGGATCTTCAGCTCAAAGCCCCTGCGGGATTCCAGGCTGCTGAGGCGTTTCTGGGCCTGGTGGAGGAGAGCAAACCTCGGGTAAGAGCAGTCCCTGCCAGCCAGTGAGAGCCACCCTGGGGAACTTTGTCATGATTTGAACCCTGGGGGCACACCAGGGCATCCACAATGATCCACCCCACCTCCACACCACACAGAGAGGGAAAAAAACCTAATTAAGGATTTATGGATTTTAGATAGGGAATGAGAGGATCAAAAAAGGCTGTAACTTAAGCTGCAAAATAGATTTATTACTAAAACTAAGGCTAACGTAGAGTAAGAAGGAATTGGAAGGAGAAACAAAACCAGACTTTTGAAGACACTGCTCCTCCTGTCCCCTCCCACCTTCCCTTGCACACTGGGAGCAGGGTGTGGGGGTTTCTGCTCAGTTCAGCACCAGGGTGTTTCATTGTTTAGGAGRAGGGGTCTTTCACCTTGCTCTGGAGATTTTTCTCAGACATTTTTCTGCTGACAGGGTGGGATTTTCYCTCCTCCCCAGGGAGGGAAGCAGTTCTCTAAGGTCAGGTTCTTTCCATTCCAGCAGCAAAACTTTCCTCTTGAGTCTCCCAGGAAAACACAGCTTCTTCCAGACATTCACTCACTCCAGGTGATGCTGGAATGATTTTTGCCTTTTTTCTTTTATATATTTGTRCCCWTCCCAGTATTTTTCCYRACCCTTYTCCCCAGCTAGAAAGRMCAAACCCATTCCAGAGCTCYGAGCCCTGGGGGATACAAGGTCCCRTCCTATCCTGGTTCTTCCTGGGAACCAAGGCCTTTGAAACACATTTTCAYCAACAAGTACAGCTGGTACCAAGGYTGGGGGGCTGCAGAGAAGCAYCCCTTGTGCTCCWAATTGGTGCTTTTTATCAATTATGCTAATTCCCTAAAATCCATCAAACTGCATTCACCCCTGTGGGATGGGCTTYGGTGGGAATTCTTCCACAGCTGCCCCTGGAGCCCCAATAAAGCCCCACTTTTACATCACCTCCTGTACTAAAACCATCTCCAGCTTCATTTCCAGGCTGCAAAAGGCACCACAGGCATGGGAGGGACAACTCTTCCCCAGGGGCTGTGACCAGTCCATCCAAGGGCAGTTTTTTTGTCTCAGGAGCAGGGTCTCTCTCTCTCTCTGTGGACACTGTCACCTCAGGACCAGCCTGTTCTCCTCCATGGTCAGCACTTCTTCCCCTCCACTCACCTCAGTGTCTCCACTTTCTCACCTCTTCCCCTCCTCACTCTGGCTAATGGCAGCTGCAAACACTTTGTTTTGAATTTCTTCTTAAATAAATCATCCCAAAGGCATAACCAGCAGAATGTCCATCGCCCTCAGAGCCATCAGAGATTGGCTCTACAACACAGTGGGGGCAGAGTTTTTACTAGACATGATGAAAACTTCCACAATCTTCTCAYTTCTCCCCTTCCCCACTACAAAAAAACTGGGCCAAGCACAACTTACAACAACCCTTACTCAGGGTTTTCACCAGGGTTACCTGCTCCAGCTGCTGAGCTGCTGTCRCGTATTTCTTCTCCAGCAGGGCCGTGCTGCACTCTTCAAAGCTTGTATCAAACTGCAAAGGCCAAACACAGGCAGGGGTCACTGCAGCCCTGCTCTCACAGCCCAGGCTGTGGCTACAGCCACAAGAAAAGCCCAAAATAATATCACAGACTCAGGAACAGGATTTTTTGCCCTCCCTCCTCACCTCCTGCAGCTTTTTCAGGATGCTCAGCACCAGTGTGTCCCTCTCCAGCTGCTGCTTCAGCTTGGTGAATTCAGCAACAGAGACATTTAGATCRCGCTGGACCTAAAATAACAGCATTTTTCAGTTCATTGACAGCACTTGTTAGCACACACATTTTCCTCTTCCTTCAAATTTCATTTATCATTTATTTCTGCTCATARAATAATTCATTGAGGGGGAAAAGCACTCCATCCATTTTACTGCTGCCACGCCAAGGCTGCTCCTTCTCTCTGAGGGACACTGTGACACACTTTTCCACCTACACAAGAGTGACAATCCCATAATGACAGCTCTTAATGTACACCCTGGTGCCATCTCAGGGCATTCTCTATGGGTGCCATCACCCCAGGATCTTCATCACAGAACCATGGAATATCCTGAGCGGGAAGGGACCCCCAGGACCATCAAATCCTACCACCCACCCCRAAATCCCACCAYRAAAATGTTGTCYAARCAYTCCYTGAGCTCTGGCAGGTTTGGGGCTCTGATTAAACACCCCATGASGGAGCAGGGGCTCCAGATTTGGGATGAAATGGAGAGGAATGTCCCCCCGCAGTCACCTCGTTCTCGATGTCCGCCTTGAGCAGATCGATGTTGCTGGACAGTCCCTCCACCTGTGCCACCAGATCCTCAGCGCTCTGCATGCTGGGCAGGAACTCGCTGTACTTGTTGTTCATCAGGGTGCAGACCTCTTCCTAAGGACAGCGAGCAGCGGGACGGGGTCACGGCGGGGAGAGAGTGACAGGGCTGGGGAACTCGGGATGAACTGAGCTGGACCAAGGCTGGACACCCTGATCCCACTGCCCCAGGGCTGGACACCCTGATCCCACTGCCCCAGGGCTGGACACCCTGATCCCACTGACCCAGGGCTGGACACCCTGATCCCACTGATTCAGGGCTGGGTTCCCTGATCCCACTGAGCCAGGGCTGGGCACTCTGACCCCACTGATTCAGGAATGGGCACTCCGGTCCGGACCAGAGCTGGGCACCCTGATCCCACCCTGATCCTCAGGAATGGGCACTCTGATCCCACTGACTCAGGAATGGGCACCCTGATCCCACTGACCCAGGGCTGGGCACCCTGATCCCAATGACCCAGGAATGGGCACCCTGATCCCACTGATTCAGGGCTGGGCACCCTGATCCCATTGCCCCAGAGCTGGACACCCCAGTCCCACTGAACCAAAACTGGGCACCCCAGTCCCACTGAGCTAGGGCTGGACACTCTGATCCCACTGAACCAAAACTGGGCACTCCAGTCCCACTGCCCCAGGGCTGGACACTCCAGTCCCACTGACCCAGGGCTGGACACCCCGCTCCGGACCAGGCCTGGACACCCCGAGCCGATCCAGCTGGACACCCGGTCTGGGCGGGTTCCGCCTCAGCGCAGCCCCGCGTCTCCCCCGC